TGGCACCTTATTGTAAACCTTAATTGCCAATTTCCTAATAAGATCATGAAGGAAGGTGAAACAAATAACCGATGCAACCCTATATATATGAAAACAATCGCTGATTTCGTGAGATAATAAAAAAAGAACTCTAGAAAAAAGCTTCTTTTGATTCATTGGTAGATGCGAGGAATACCTCTTTCATGCTAAAACTATCTCAGGAGAGATTTTAGTTTTGGCTCTTTGAGATACCAGGAAATATACATGTATCTCATTTGAGATGTTAGATATCATGCAGTGGCTCTTAAGTTTAGTTTTTATGATTGTGAATAATGGTGCGATTGCTTATCCAACCCAGGGCGGTGTTAAGATCAAAGAAGACTTTGATTTTAATGCAACTCAAATACTTTTGCAAAGCATTCTTCTTTGTGGAACTGAGATCATCTGCAATAAGTCGCTTTTGGGTTCACTAGGGATTCGAAGCGATGTCGTCCCTCCAAACAGGTGTCCTTATTGTTCTTGTGATGAATACGACTGTTTTTTCCATTGGTCCAATGCGCCATGCTGCCCCGACGTTTTCTTTAAATATGGGCTTCTGGAATGTGTCGATACACACGTAGTTCCGTTCAGAACAGCAAGTCCAGATCTACTTATTTCATACTGCCCTGTAGGCACAGACGTCAGTTTATCCAAAAACTGCACAAAGGAAGAAGGAGAGAGTGATCAATTACAACAACCACCTGTTACAAAATCAACAGCCTGGGTATCATATAAAAACAAATTCTGTTCCTTCTGTCACAATGAGGTAAATTACATCGAATGGGTACTAAATTTCAAATGCGAATATCCAACGGATTTCAACCAACGTTCTTCTTCCGAAGACCTTGTTGCCTACGCCAAGTCAGAATCCTGTGGTATTTATTATGAGCATCCATACCTCGGGAATAACATAAAGCGTTGTTCTACAGCTTATACTACCAAAATTAAAGCATGCAATGTAACAGGTACTTGGACTCATTATGACAAGCAAATAGAAAAAGCATGTCTAAGCGCCTATGAAAGTCGTTATGGTACGTTTAAAAATATATTCTGCAAAATTTGCAATCCCCCTAAATTTGAAGAACAGTTTTTGATAAATTCGTGTGAAAACCCAAGCGCCTTTGAGGATGCTTGTTTGAAGCTGCCTGCTTTGCCAGCTTCATTTCCACACAAGAATTATTTTTGTTTCGTTTGCAACCATGGTGATTATAATACCGAGTACTTTGGAGATGTTAGAGTCTTTAAATCGGACGAAACATACTTTGGGGATGACTTCATATTTAACATTGAATTCGGATATCTTGAAGAACATGTTAAATTTTATGTACAAAAGAATTTGGGCAATTCAGATGTAGACACAACTAAATTTAATACAGAGAGCACGAAGTCAACCCTGAATTCAATGCAGACTGAATATCCAGCATGGGTAGAATTTTCCGATCTACCAGATCATACTGATTCGCTTGCTACTTCACCGACTTCAAATCCCTCAATTTTTCCTTATTCTCTCAACATGACAAATCTCATTCATGTCGGTTTCTCTTTGTCAGGAAAAGGTGCCTGCACACCAGGGTTCTTACCGAACTATACATTGCCACTACAAGGAAATTGTTCTTGCAATGTGGGGTGCACGTTCCAATGCTGTGACGATTTTTCTTTAAAGCAAAAATGGACATGCATCAGTGATCGATACCCTGGAAGTAAGGGAAATGATACAGTTCAAGACTTTCGGGCAATAAATGGATGCCTTCAAACAAATGTTTTTGCAAATCTCTGTGCAGGGAGAAAGGATTTCCATTTTTATCATTCAATTCCTGTTCGAGCAACAAGTGAAAACATGGAAACCTACGTAAACTTTTTCTGTTACCTGTGTGAAAAAATCCAAGACGGAGAATATAATAATCAACTCTCTAACAGTATCACCGATGTTCGTTCATGGTCCTTGAAAGTAAGCTGCAAATCATACGTAAATTATCTTCATTTTCAATCATTCCAACATGTGATTGACACCTTTAGAAGGCTTTCATGTGATATAAGATTTCATGTCCCGTATAACACAGAGAGATGTAGTGATTTATATGATGTAGATATATCATCTTGTAACGTGTCTGGGACATGGAAAACATATAATGAAGATGTATTAATAGCTTGTGAACATGTTGATGCCTTGATATTTTCTCCGGTACGGTCAGGTCAAACGCTCTATAAAAATAAATTCTGTTTAATATGCAACCCAATGGAAGTTAGTCAATCTCAGATAATCCAGACTTGTAAGCCAGGAACAGATTCAAGCCTAGTCAATGCTTGTCTTCAATTTCAAAACGTTCATGCTTGCACCGAGTACAAAAATGTTTTCTGCCAAATGTGCAATGGAGTGAATAATTCCAACTGTGTTGAATTTGTCTCTTGGTACTTCACCACGAGTGATGATTTTATCAGTACTATTATATATGATTTTAGCTTCCGGTCGCCATTTTCACTAGCTGCATATGATAAAAATGATGACCTGTCATTACAGCAGAAATCTGCAAGCTGTTTACCGAACCAAATCTACGATGACAGTCTTGTAAGCACCATTTTTCTATTATTTGTTTCATACTTGTCTTTTTGTTGATCATATGTAGAAAAAAATGAGCTGAAAGTGCAAATTCACCAGGACCGGAATAGAAATCTAACTCCCAAGAACTTAATGTTTTGAAATCAGAATTATGAATAAGATCTAATCACTTTGATACCCCAACTTTCAACCTATAACTCCAGAAAGTTGAAGTTGGAAAAGGTCTGTGAATGGCTTGTTATGGCCACATACACCCCTCTACCAGAAATTCTGAAAATCATGGTAAATAAATAAAAAGCCATTTAAAGTTTTGGGATTTTTAGAATTTCATAATAATGTTCATGACATCTGGCCTCAACTCTGTTTTAAGAAGCCTGTCTTTCTTTTACCCACAATTCGGTTGGACTTTGAGCATAATTACTGTTCGGTATCTTCACATATCATATACCCAGTGCTGTAAAATTATATAGATTCATAGGGGAAGAGAAAAAAAGTAAAGAGACGATATTGAATATAGATGAAATTCGACAGATTTGTTACATTCTAAGAAATTAATATTTACATCTTTTGCACCCAAATTTCTGTAAAAGTAAATTTATCCGAGTGCAAAAAGCATCCGTGAGTTTTACACCCACCTTTCACTCCCGAATGTTTCTCGCCGCTAATCAATTCTGCATTAATGAAGAATGTCATCATTCGTGATTATTAATTTTCACACTGACGTATCTACAATAAGAGTTGTCAAAAATAATAATGGTTATCCTTAAATCCCAAATAGATATACACTGTATACCAATCAATGCATACAACGTATCTCTAATGTTATCGTCCTTAACACAAAGTGAAATTGCTTTATCGACAAATATTTCCTCCCTCCTACGAGAAATTAGTATCATGGGTTAATGGCATTAAAAGATTTAATTGAAGGGCCCGTTGTCCACTTTTTTATAGCAAATTTAAATCTCAAGATGTTAAGGTATTTAAAAAAAAATGAACACTAGCCCCCACCCAACCCACCTTAATCCCACAACTCTAGGCAATACGATTTTCGAATTTGGACAATTACCTTTTTTTAATTTCTCAAATATTTTTCAGTCAAGATATCAATTCTTTTTCGAGCCTCCTTCCATTTCAGAAATGTTCTGTGGGATAAATTTTAATCGAAACTTGAGAAAGTATCTCAAAGTGTTGTATTCATATATTTTTTTTTTTTAAATAGTGGCTTTAGTTATAAGGGTAGGACCACAAAAAAATGTCAACATAACTCGGGAATAAATACGAATAGATACGAAAATCTTAAAACATCTTCTTTCGAAGAAAAGCAGGGATGCTATTAGTTAATCCACACACATGCAGGACAAATATTAGGAATGACAAGGTGAAGATAAGTAATCGATCTCATAAAAAGCTACAAACAATACAAATGCGTGAGTAGGACAAAAAAACGGACTTCTGAAACTTCCAAAGGTGAGATTAGGTGCCAAAGAAGAGTAAGCATCCCCTGTTGAATGGTCACTACTACCGTGAGCCCTATGTATAAATCTGGTAGACGGAACATGACGTAGTCAATTTAATATAAAATCAGAGGCCTTACAATGGGGATGAAATAAGCACGTCAGCCAAAATACGAGCCAATGATAGGTTTTATTTCAATGAACTGAATCACAGCAACTGTGGGTGTAAGAAGAGGTTAATCTAAAAATTCAAAGGTTAACAAAGAAAAATTATTAACTTTCGGATGAAACACGGATATCATTTGTAAACTAAACTGAACAGCTCAATACAATATTTAATTGAATTTGTAATTGATTTAATGATTAATATGCATACTTAAAATTGATGACTGGAACAAGAGGCTTCATTTATCAACATACTTATTAATGATCAGGTACGGTCGATTTAAATTAAATAATTTAATGCTTATTTATTATTTTTATTATTTTCAATTGGTACTAGGAATTCAATATCAATTTGTATTTTCTTTTGTAATTTGCAGAAAATATGCAAGGACCTTATTTGTTTTCCTGGCAAAAAACTCTGGAATGGTACCTGCGTATCGGTTCTGGCAACAACTACTAACCTGCGTTACACACTGGCAACAAAGGTCAAATTTTCCATCCTAACAGATATTAATGGAACAGTTGGAACAGTAAAGGGAACGCTATTAAAATTGAAACACTTGATAACGAAAAACATACGTCAAATAACACAATCTCCTAAAATGCTCAATATTTTTGAAAATTTTCTTCTCATGATTTCTATGAGCTGCAGTACTTTGAATATTAGACATGGGGAATTTTACTTGTATGTAAAATTTTTTATAGACAAATGGGTTTACCGAGATGCTTTGGAAAAACGACTAATGCATTTCATGAAAATGTCTAAAAATTGGACCCTTTCGAATACTACCGCTGTTGAGTTAGAAATGTCTGTTAGTGAAAAGGCATATATGTTGCCTTATATATCAACGAGATTTAATAGAAAAAGACAGTGCTCTATCTTCCATGCAGAAAGACAATGTGCGTCAAACATATTCAGAAATAATCTAATTAGCCCTCTGTTGACTTGCCCTCAAATTCAAATCAAAAACAATGATTTTGGATTGGTAGATATTCAAACTGATTATACATTCTCTGGATTGTCAGTTTATCATTCTAAAGCAGATAATATTGGAGTCCTAGTTTGTGTAAGCGACTTATCAAAGATAAAACTGAAGACTCTGAAACTCGGTAGTAGGTTTCTATCTACTTTAACTTTGATCTGTTTATGTGTATCTCTTGTAGCCCTTCTGCTAACATTAATTACGTACTGCTTATTCCCAAGTATTAGAACTCTCCCCGGTATTAACAACATGATACTAGTTTTATTTTTATTTTTGGCACAGATTTGTTTGATCGTCCGTCCTTTGTTTTATACTTTTGGTTTGGAAATAGTGTCTGCTTTGTCACACTTTTCATGGCTGTTGGTATTTTTCTGGCTGCAAATATGTTCTTTTCACATGTTTCGTGTCTTCACTGCCAAACAGAGATGGGATAATTGTCCAATATCTATCAGACGAACAATTACTAAGTATTTCTTGTATGCATTTGGTAGCGCCTTGATTATTGTTACTTCAAACATTATAATTTCCCTTATATTTTCCGATGGCAAAAACACAGGTTATGACAAAGCTTTAACATTAATGACATACAAAACCGCTTTCATTGTCACTGTCCTGGTTCCGTTAATTTTTGTCTGCTTAACGAACATATTTTTTTATATTTTGACGGCGCATAAAATCTGCTTTACTCCTGACATTGAAAGCACAACTGGAAATAAAGTGCAATTTTCTGTTTATATAAAGTTGTTTACATTGACTGGCCTTTCATGGATGTTACAGATTATTGACTCTTTTATAGATGTTTCAATATTTTCGTACTTTGTTGCAATTTTGAACGGTTTACAGGGATTGCTAATCTTTCTCAGTTGTGTCTGTAATAAAAGGGTGTGGAATTTGTACAAGACAGCTTGGAGCGAAAATAGAAATTTCAGCAGACAACCGTCAACATTACGCTCCAAAACAAACACAACTTCAAAATGAAAATTACATTTCCAGTGTTAATTTTTTTTTTTCGGGGGAGGGGGGTTGAATTTGATCCATTCCCCCAATTATAAGATCAAATCAGTTCCAATATTAAGTTTTCCATTTGGTTTAAAAAAAAAAAATACTGTATACCAGCACACCTACAAATAATCTGGTTACGTCATAAATAAACCCAGATACGTGATCAAATTTACAATTTCATATATAATTGGACATGTCTTCAGTTTTATCCGGATGAAAAGAAGTGTTAGTTCATTTTAAAAAAATTGAATCAAGTGAATAAAGAACAAGACTAGTGATAAATAAATAAATAAATTTTAAAAAATAATGAAAAAAAAGAAAAAAAAGAAAAATTAAAAAAAAATTAAAAGAACAATCGTGAATTTTCTACTGAAAGTAAATTCTTGCTTTCCGAACATGTAAAACTACAACTTTTCTCGTCAATATTTGCAGCTCTCCACCGGCAAGTGGTGGCGTCTCCATATGAGTGAAAAATTCTCGAGAGGGACAACAAACAAACGAACAAAACACTTTTTCACTTGCTGTTAGTTTGATCCGGAAGACTTGTGATTGCTTGCACGGGGTTATGACTTCTAAGACGTATTTGAGCTCAATATTACTTAGCATTGAGACTTATATTACATTTCGTCAGCTGAAGTCAATGCTTTTGTATGTCTTTATTTTGAAAGAAATTGAGTAATCTGGTTGAGGAAATATTCTCGGGTGATAAAATTTGTTTTTGTTAATTTGTTTTTGTTGTTTAACGTTCCTCTAGAGAATTTTTCACTCATATGGAGACTCATCCACTTGCCGGTGGAGGGCTGTAAATCTAGACATGTACTGGACTATTGAGTAGTGAGGGATTTTTTTTATATGCCAGCACCTACTGTGAAACTGGACCTTCGCAGGAGTGTTAAGGAAACACTCAGTTATTCTGACGTGACTAAATCAGTGATACAATATGACATCATAGTAGGCTACATGACGTGAATTTTATAACACAAGTTTTCTTAATATTGGTGTTTAGAGATTTAATTAAACTCCTGAAAATGACTAAACATGCATCTTTTTGCAAAAAAAAATATTTAATTTTTTATGCTTATGTGTATCTGTCACTAGGTTTAAAAATTCCGACCGATGACGTCATAATTGTTCAACAAATAACCTGGGAATTGATCATGATGTTTAACGAGAATTTGGCAAAGACAGCATGTAAAAAGATACGTAAAGGGGTATTAAAAAGAAAATACCTTGAATATCGCGTGTGATTCATATTGATTTCAAGTTTGGTAAACAGGTATGCTTATTTATTTTCATCAATTATATCTTCTAATGAAGACACCAGCTATTTACATATTCCGGTCAGCCTTTCCTCTGTCATTCGTAACAAAATAATGCAAAAGAACAACACTAAGCCAAATACTTCAAAATATAATATTTGTATAGATCAAAAGCTTGCGTTTCATAATACTTGTAAGTGCTGCTAGAATTGAAAGGTTGTCACATTCTGTTTTGTCAGTGTAGAGTTAAACACAATCGACTCAAAGCTTATCTTGTTCAGGTTTGATCCCGTCAAGAAAAATTTATGTGCAAAAGCTTCTTGGTCGGTTCTAATTCTATTGAATTTTTTGCGGATTGCTCTGACCCAATGTATTCTTGTTAAAATGTATGGATTTTTCTTCAGCAAATGGCATCTAACGTGCTCAGGTTCAACATCATTCTGATCTCTCATTTAAGCTGTTGTTTTAATGCTTATTATCTCCCAAAAAAGAAATGTGTTTTATAAGTTGAATCTAAGCACATTAATTTAGCATAGGCATTAGCTTGCGCAGCAATATTACCAAAAAAAAAAAAAAATTAAACTTGTTTTTAAAAAATTATAAAAATAATAGACATTTATTCAATTAAGAGTTATCTCTCTTATCATAATATCAAGGGAACTAAATGCATTTGAAACGTTGTATTTCACCTTAATGTTTTATCAAATACTATTATATATTATGTCGTTTATATACCATATTTTATATAAAACTCACTTGTAATGCATCATGTTTGTAACCATGTCATATTTATTAAATATTGCTTGTTAACCTTTATTATTAAGATAAATCCTGTTTGCTAAAAACCATGTTTTAAATACATGTTTGTTTAAGATCATACTCATAACAAACCATAGTCATAATATATCATGCCTAGTTAGATCATGCATATGGTAGTTTAAAATATTATATCTTACCTATCATGTTTGTTAAATTTCATGTTTGAAGCATGCTTTAATATATATAGCGAGGCTAAACTCATAATGTATCATGGTCATAATATATCATGCTCAGTTAGATCCTGGTCGTTAAATATTTTTTTGCTTACATATCATGTTTGTTACATTTCATTTTTGATAAGTATCATGTTTTAACATATATTTGTTATATATCATGTTTTTGAAAATACATCTATCATGTTTGAAGCATGTTTTTAATACATATAAGAAGGTTGAACTTCTGCTCTCGGACTAAAACGAAGCTCCGTCATCGGATAAAGTACGTCATAGTCAACATGGCGGATCAACACGAAATTATCTCATCTGTAGACAGAAAAAATGTTTTTGTTTTTTTTTTCTTGAAATAGAAATATTTTGACTTCATATAGATTATGCTTAAGTTTATTTTTCAAAAATATTATTAATTATATATTTTAAAAAATTGGAGCTCGATGTGATGTTCGGTGTGAATTAAACTTTTTGATTTAAATTATTCTTTGCTCTTTTACTCGCTGTTTTATAAGGATAAAACAAAATGAGTCATGACAAAATTTTGCTATTAAAACCGAATATATCTTCGAAAAGATAAAAATGGGGGGAAAAAACAGTTTATACTTTTTTTTTTCAAATATACTGCGGATATATGATGCGGTTTTTGCGTGCTAAATAATTGACGATCTTAGCATATTATTTAAGTTAATAAAATATTTTCTTAACATATCTTCTTCAGTTTTATTTCCCTTTATATCATAGTGGGTGTCAATAAATATGCTGCAGATATTTACGGTTTTCTGTGCTAAATAATTGACAATATTTGCGTAACAACTAATATTATAAAATAGTTTTTTAACATATTATATTCAGTTTTAATTCTTTTTGTAACACAATAGTTATCGAAATAATTGTCTTTTAGCTGACAATCATAATCTTTAATTTGTTATATGCTTGCATCAAATTTTAAGTTTTGTAAAAATAAATGATCACCAAAATATTATTGTACGTTGTATATAGTTTCCTGAGCAGGGACTTTTGGGGATATCTAGTTATATTCTATTGTCTAACCAGTCGACATACAGTACACTGTTTATTTTACCCTGATTCCCATTGTGTATAAATCTGGTCAGATGTCATCTTTAATCTGATCGGCTGTTCTTCCCAAACTTGATTTAGAAATAACGAATTGTTGTTTCAAAATTCTTTTATTTTATATAAACACATAATACACATAAAGGTATGGTCAAGACATAAGATTTTAAAAGGTTTGATAAATACAACATTCAACACAGAGTTGACCAATAGAAATGTGTCAGATCACGATGGAGATATTTCTTTCATTTTGGAATGATTGACAGGCGAGACACTTCGTGGACTTCGTAAAATTACAGTTAGATATTAAAAAAAAACAAGAAAGGAAAAGTTATTATTGGTATAGTAAATAAAACGTAGAAAATTAAATTACAATCTCTAAAGGTATACGCGAATGTGTGTGTTTTAAGGGTGGGTTGCAGTTCTTTCTTTCTCTCTACCTTTAATATATAAGAATCATAATTGAACAACTGGGGCCAGCAGCTTTTCTACAAGCACTTTAATTTACCTGATCATTATACCCGCACTTTCTAAAGAAAGTTCGGTTATATTGTTGTTACTCATGTCTGTCCGTCCGTCCGTCCGTCCGTCCGTCTGTCACACTCTTCTTTCTCAAACTCCTCTTACATTTTACACAGTAGCCTAATCATCTTTTGGGAGATGTTTGGTGGTGTCATGTAGATGTGCAGTAAAGTTTCGGAATTTTCATTTTCACCCTGGGGGTCAAATGGGGGTCGAAAAATGACGTTTTTTTTATGCAAAAAGCCCCTGGTTCCCTGAACTCCTCTTACATTTTACACAGTAGCCTAATCATCTTTTGTGAGATGTTTGGTGGTGTCCTGTAGATGTGCAGTAAGGTTTCGGAATTTTCATTTTCACCCAGGGGTCAAACAGGGGTCGAAAAATAACGTTTTTTATGCATAAAGCCCCTGGTTCCCAGAACTCCTCTAACATTTTACACAGTAGCCTAATCAACTTTTGGGAGATGGTTGGTGGTGTCCTGTAGATCTGCAGTAAGGTTTTGAAATTTTTATTTTCCCCCTGGAGGTCAAATGGGGTCAATTTTTTTTTTAAATATTTAACATGTTTAAACACCCTGGTTCCCAGAACTTCCCTTATATTTTATGCACTAGCCTTAAATCATGATCATTTGGAAGATGATTGATTTTGTCCTGTGGATGTGTAAAATGGTTTTAAAATTTGCATTTCAATGTGGATAGCAAATAGGGGCAGGAAAAAAATGGCCCCTCCCTAACCCATGGGGTCATGATTTGTATAAACTTGAATCTACACTTCTTGGGAATGTTTCCATATTAATCATGCTTTTGTTGTTTTTTTGAAGATTTTTTTTCCTTTTATTCCTATATAAAACTTTGTGGCCTGACCCTATCCTCGGGGGTCATGATTTGAAAACTTGAAATATGTCCATAGGACATAAATGCCCCGCCGAATGTATATTACTAATGCAACATGAAAATTTGTATGAGTGTATGAAGTTTGATGAGAATATCTTGAACAGTTTCTTTAAAATTGAAACTAAAATGTAAAAAAAATGGATATAGATGATAAATTCTCACCAAATTATGTATAAGTGCATGCTTACATAAAAATATCTTAGATTGTTTCTTTGAAACTAAGCAAAATACAAATTAAA